CTTACACACAGCCGCATATACACACAATGCGCGGGGGGGCCATCTCGCGCCACATGCCCGCCCCTGCACGCGCCCCCGACTCGCCGCCTGCGGGTGCCGGTTGCACTGACAGCACCGTGGCTCGCGTTCAGTGTCCCCGCGTGGGCGGCATCCCCGTTGGGAAATCAGGGACGGCGGAATTCCCTGCCGTGTTGGGGCCCCTGCCCTGCTGCCTGTGCTGACCTTGTTTGGCGGGCAAACCCTGCAAGAGCCTAGCCGGCACAAAGCGCGCCCTGGAGATCCCCTGACTGCGCTCGCACCCGCCAGCCCCAGCCCTTGCAACACCTGACTCGACTGACTGACGAACCCACAAACGAACCTAACCGCGCACCAACCGGGCAGCTGCTGTGGGTCAACCTGGTGACCGACGGCCTGCCCGCCACTGCGCTGGGCTTCAACAAGCCGGACAAGGACGTCATGGCGCGGCCCCCGCGGCGGCTGAACGAGCCCATCGTCAACGGCTGGCTGTTCTTCAGGTGGGTGAAGGGGCGGTTGGGGGCAAGGGAAAACAACGTTTCAACCGCCACGGGGATGCTCCTCATCACGACCAGGTTTTTAGTTTCTTCCCATTCCATAGTATTGGTGTTCAACTTCATCGCAAAGGCTAGGGCAGGGCGATGCAGGGCGCTTGTGGGGTCAAACGGTCAGCTTTTACGCACCAGCTGGGGCACCACCCAAGTACCCCACATGCTGCACCCCACCCCACCCTACACCCCAAACCATCAAACCCCACCGTAACGCCCCCTGCAGGTACGTCGTGATCGGGCTGTACGTCGGCGCCGCCACCGCCGCCGGCTTCCTCTGGTGGTACGTATCCTTTGCCGCCGGCCCCCGGCTGCCCTGGCGCGCCCTCACCTCGTTCCAGACCTGCAAGGAGGCCGCGGCCGTGACCGCCGGGTACTCCTGCAAAGTGTTCTCGGACCTGCGGCCGCGGACCATCGCGATGTCCGTTTTGGTGATCGTCGAGATGTTCAATGCGCTGAACAACATCTCCGAGAACAGCTCGCTCTTCGCAATTCCCCCGTGGGACAACAGCTGGCTGCTCGCGGCGATCTCGACCTCGATCGCGCTGCACTGCCTCATAATGTACTGCCGGCCGCTCGCTGCGCTGTTCGGCATCACCGCGCTGGGGCGCGCGGAATGGAAGGCTGTCGTCGCGTTGTCTGCGCCGGTGATCTTGGTGGACGAGGTTTTGAAGCTCCTCGCGCGCCGCGCGGCCGCCGCCGCGGCGCGGCCCGGGAAGCGGCGCGGCGGCGGCGGAAACGGGGGCGGCGTGCCGCGGTCGGAGAGCTCGTCGGGGCTGCTGCTGCCGCTGGGGTCGATTCAGGTGGTATCGCCGCTGGTTGGGGGCGGCGGGTCGGAGCCAGACAAGTCGAACTGAGGTTGGCAATCCGCCACGCACTGTGCTGACTTTGTTGTTGTGTGCTGACCGGCCTTTGACCACCCCGTTTGACCTTGTTTGACTGGCCCAGCAGGCGTGTCGTGTTGGCTGGCGTTTGATGGCAGTTGCGTTAGTTTTACTCGGCCATGTTTGGACACTTGCCCAGCCTTCCTTATCAAGTTGCAGCCCTCATTCTGTTTCAGACCCACTTCTCCCTTCAGCACGCACGCACTAGAATAAGCGCGCAGCGATGGGCTGCAGGGCAGGTGTCTAGAGCACAGGGCGGCTCGAGCGACGTAGCGTGAGAGCGTCTTTCTAATGTGTTGCAGGTGTAATCTGCTGCCTCGGCAGGTCGCAGTCCCAGTCAAGCTTCCAGGTATCAGAGTGGCCTTTTCATGTGACACGGACATGTGTGTATGCACGCAAGGCCGAGGGTGACACACGAATGCATCAGCCTGCCTGTGGCGATGCTGCAACAGCAGCACCGGCTGAGTGCAACTGCTGCCACGGCAAGGTGCTTCAGCCACGGCCGCGGCCCCAATGCTGGGCGCCTCGCCAGCAACTGACACTGTGGTACGCGCACGCCGCCTGAGCTAAGGCCAATTTGATCAGCACTAGAGCTAGCAACCAGCTTCAACCGCAATTTTATAACAATTCCATAGTGCTCTGCTCACTGATGCGAGCACGTTGTCCATAAAACGCGTCGCTTCTGCTGATACCGGGTCAGCCGCGCTCGTTGCAGTGAGTCACCGCATACAATAACAAATCCGCCTCACACGATCATATCTTGAACCTTGTTGCCTGAACGGAGGTGCCTCTTTCGCCTGAGCGCTGGGCCTGCCATGCGTGTGGCACAGCGGTCCGTTGTCCGAGTGACGTCACGTTGCTGCCCACCTGGCATCTCGGCAGAATTTTCGACCCCTGCCCTTCCTTGGTCTTTACAAGCTAATTTGCCGGCAACTTCAACTTTTGATGCAATCTCCTTCTGGCCCTGATCACCCGCACCGCACACAGTTGGGAGTGTCACAGTCGCAGCTTTGCTGACCGGCGGCCCGGCTGCTGCGAGGCAGACATACGGGTCGGCAAGCCAGATCCCAATTCAACGCACCCCCACAGCATACTAACCAAAACCTGTTGATCAGGTGAGAGTTTGCGCGGTTGCCGGTTGCAGCACGCAAAGAGTTTGCACCGCGCGGCGTCGGAGCCGGCCGTCGTCCGGCTGCGACCCGCAAGGCAGAGCATCGGGCCCGCGCACCACAGAAGCAAACAGCCCATACGGAACAGGCTGACAGATAGTTATCACATAGCGCTTGTCCCGCAAGCCGGTGCAGAAAAGGCACAGCACAGCGCCGCCGAAGGCTGTCGAGACGATGGCGCCGGCCGCGGCTCCCGCCGCCAGCGGCGTGCGACTGGTGCGCCTCAGGTGCGATTTGGAGCACCGAGGCGGCGGCCCCGGCAACGAGGACCTGGTGGCAGCGATAGCCCGGGGCCTCACAACAAGGGACGTCCCAGTCGACCCCGCCTGCGCGGCGGCCGCCGCGGCGCGGCTCGCCGG